GAAAAAAAAAAAAAAAAAAGAAAAAAAAGGGAGGAAGGGGGGGGGGGGGGGTATTTTTTAAAACGTTTTTATTTAAGCACGATGGGAAGTATGATCAACACGGAAAGCCCAGAGCCACTTTGTCCACAGACTTTGCTCATCGCGTCGCTGGCCCCACCCCCCTCCACCCCGCCCTCTTTGTCGCCGGACTCATTGTGACGACTATCCCGGTTCGTGGGAGGCGAACCAATCTCTGGCCAATGCAAAGGGAAGGGCAGCCGCTGGTTTCGTTTGGAATGTTGCCATGGTTTTCCCTCAATGGGAAAGAACGAAGGAGAAAAGGAGACAGAAGCCGAGCAACCACGTGGGGGAGCAAGTCTGCGGGGAGGGCGAGTGGTGCGCGCCGCTGGGGCCATGGCTGGCCTCCCTTCTCCCCGCCCGCGCCAGCTCCGCTTTTTATTCTTTGCCATCCACGATCGCCAGCTCTTGGATCACCCTCAGTTTACCGCTGGCATCGATCCTGCGCTTCTCCCTGATTAGGTCCTCCAAGCTTTGGAACCTCACCGTGTGCCCCGTGTTGTCTGCCAGGTGGATCTTGAGATAGTATTGCTGCTGAGGCTGAGAGCCCGACGCTGGCTGGAGCTCGCCGCCCGCTTTGAACTCCCGCTTGCCGAAGCGGCACCAAGCGGCAAAGCTCTCCGAGTTCGTCCAGCAGATCTCGTGGCTCTTTAAGCCCAGGTGGCTGCAGGCGTTCTGCACTACCAGCTCGGCCACGAGGGGGCGGAAGCGGTACCAGCTACTCACCACCCGGCCCACGTTGCCAGCGGCCGCCTCGTACAAGCTGTCCTGGCGAATCTGGCCCTGGTGCAAGTGGATGATCTGAGCGTTGCCCACATAGACTGCCCACTGTGGGGGCGGAGGAGGGTGATCGGACGGCCCCAGGTAGAGCAGCTCCAGCAGGTCTCCCGGCTTGCACAGGGCAGGCAGGGCCGACGCCGGATAGACGCTCAAATCCCCAGTCTGGGAGTCTCCGCTCACCTTGGAGAAGATGCATTCCTGGCCGCAGAAGGCGGAGAACTGGGTCTCGCTTAACACCAGCTGCGGCGTGTGGTGGTGGCGGGTGGGCGACTCTTGGGCAGGGCTGCTAGAGCCCTTCACGCTGTACTTGTCCGACTGCCCTCGTTCGTCCAGGTCCTCCTCCTCGTCCGAGAAGAAGTAAGCCACTCCAACGCGCAGCTCGTCTTTCTCGATCCCCGAGGGGTCCCCGGTCGGCAGCTCGCTGTAATTCAGGTGAGTGATGCGATCCAGTTGATTTCCCATCAATGACAGGGCGCGGCGAGAGCAGGAATCGCCGGATCTGAGGGACAGCAAACAGAAGAGAAGAGTGGGAGATTAACGCCATGAGGGCGCGGAAGGGGGGTATAACAATAAACACGCACACGGCACGAAATGGGGCGCACGCTTAGAGGGATCAGATGTTGCGGGTTCTCAGCGCCTCATCTTGGCCAAGGAAGATTAAACTGTCGCCGGCCGATCCTTCTTGCTTTTTCCCTAACACGCCCACCCATTCGCCTGACCCTACCCTTAGAACGGGCAGGGGCTGGTCCCTGGTAGCCAGATGTTGCAATAGCCCCTGGGCTGCACTGTTTGCCAGACACCCGGTCTGCTGCCCACTCTCCTAGGAGAGCTAGCGGTGCACAAAGGGAGAAAGAGCGGCGGCGAGGTCGCTGTTTGGGACAGCACCCAAAGGCTCTTCCCCCCCAAAGAATAAAAGCAACATCCGGGCTCGGGCGTTGAGGTGTCCCGGCGAGAGGTTCCTCCCGCCCTTCGCTTTGTCTCCGGTTGTCATTCCCCGCTTCTCCCTTTCCTTCTCCAAAGCAGCAGGAGCCACTTCTCGCGGAGAAGTGAGGGAGCTTCCAAGCCGCCGCTCCTCGGCTTATCACGCACGCCTGTACGCCCAGATCAGTCGTCGCTCTGCCCTTTCTTTAACTCCTTGCCCGAAGAAATAATCCCGAGCCGCGGCAAGCGAAACCCGTCCCGCTGGCGGCCTTCCCAGAAACTGACGACTAGACACGACGGGTGCAAGGTGGGAGCGATCAATTCGACATCTGCGTACCCGGAATCGCCCAGATCCCGACCAAGCCCCCGAACTCCTTTAAAGTCCTCTGGTCGCCATGGGGGCTGCTACCGCTGAGGCCGAGGAGCGGAGCCAGGTCCCCCTCAGCAGGACCCGCCGTCCAAGCGCTGGCGACCCCGGCCCCGAGTGCCCGCGCTCCGGCTCTCGCTCGCGCCCTTCACCTGCACAGTCCCGCTCGGCTCTGGGCTCCCCTCAGCAGCGCCGGCGAGTCTAAAGTAGCAGATACTCCTGATGCCAAAGCCCGCCCTTGGTCGCGCTCATTGGCTGCTCGGCTCTGCGCTTGGAAAGCTCGAGCCATCCTCTGAGGTGTCAATCACAAGAGCTCCAAGGGTGGGATTCCAGACGCCCGCCGTCTGCTCTCTTCCTGCGGCGGCGAGGCCCCGGCCGCCCTCCTCTGCCTCGCGTGCCCGGCTTCCCTGGCGGCGCTTGAGGTGGCGGCTTCGCTTGTGGCAAGCAGCCGCCGCGGGAAGGGAAGCCCGGAGCTAACCGCCCCCACTCCCAGCTAGTATCCCACCAGGTAATCCATAACCGTGCCAGGAGCAGTATCATTTAATTCGATGATGATGATGATGATGATGATGATGATGATATTATTATTTGCCCGTACGATTTTGCTGCGCTTTCAAACC